ACACTAACAACATGCAATCATTCCATGCAAAACATGTTTAGAGACCTAAAACACTAAGCTAGTGAAGGCCATTTGCACTACAACTATGCAAAACATGGTTTCATATGACCAAAGCAGCCCAAAACAGAGCTAAATCATGCCAAATCAGAGCCTAAAACATGCTTGAATTAAGCTAAGTTTAAGCCACAAAAACATGCTATCATGTGATGCTAACTAGACATAGAATGAGACACAAGGAGGAGAGGCTAACCCCTCCATTTTTGGACTTCAAACATGCTTTTTACCTCTGAAATACTCTGAATTTCAGTGGTTTAAAGGCCCAAAAATGTTTGATTTTATCATGCTAAAAGATGGTGCGAAAGCTCATGCAAACAAGTAAACAAAAATGGTAGACAACCCCTTAGCACAAAATGGCTTCAAACAACATGTTAAGGCCAAAAAATCAAAGTTTTTTGTAGTTGAAAACTAGGCCAAAACAACATAGAAGATGTCAAACAAGTATGTACAAAGAGCTTAAATGAGGTAAGCCTTATACCTTTGAAGACAGCACAAAACAACCACTCTCTTAGGCTCAAATAACCTTTCAGTAGCCCAAAATAGAGTTCCAAGAGGCCTCAGCTCCAAGGTAGTTCAGTGTCATTTTACATGTAATTTCAGTGCATATAGCTCTGTCATATGGTCATTTGCTTCACTCTTTCATTGTTTTTTAGAGTTGCTCTTGAGTCTTGTTTGCAAGCTAACATGTGAGAATGTTTTTTTGGCTTTTTGTGCATCAATCTCAGCATGTTTTAGCCACTATTTTGGCAGGTTTTAACTCTATTTTGAGCTGGTTTGGTCAGTTGAGGCTTGTATTGCATGCCTATAGTGTTGTGATCATCACTAGCTTAATGCTTTAGGCTCTTAAGCATGTATTGCATGTGTTGCTTACATGATTTTGTGTCATTTTACATGCCATTTCAGCACTGAAATGTCTGCAACCTACCTCTATTCTTTACTCTTTATTTTGTTTTGAAAGTGGCTTTGAGCCTCTTGTTGGCTTGAGTGTGGAATTGAGACCCTCATGCCTAATGGTTTATTTCCTTCAAGAGTTTATTACCAACAGCATGAGGTCTCTTTCATGCTCAAGGTACTTGAGGTTTAAGCCCTCCTTCCATTAGTGGACATTCACCTTTTGGACTTAATCGATTAAAGGACTAATTGGTAATGTAAAATGGGTAAATAAAACATGACAAGTAAAACTTGAGCAAGTTAAGCATGTTGTGTTGCATTGCATGTGTTTGGATCGGACGTTAATCCGAACACAAGAAAAATGGGACGTTTCATACTCAAAGTGATGAAACGTGCCACTTTTCTTAGTCGTTATTACCCTTGATCATGCATGATAGGGTGGTGGTCCTTCGAGTCTTATTTGTGCATTCATTAAGCTTGTACTAGCTTGGTTTTCTAGCCATCATGCATTGAAAATGCTTGGTTGGTGGCTTGAGAGCCAAGTGCTACACTCCTTTGAGTTTGAGAAATGATAAGGAGGGTCGCAATACATACATTTTCTTGAAAATGCATTGCTTTGCCTCTGTTTGCTCTCTGTTGCAGCAAAAGCAGAAATTCAAAAAATGGGGTGGCTGCCCGGCCACTTAAACTAGCCGACCGGGCAGTTAAGGTGGCCGACAGCCACTTTTTGTGGCCGACTGGCCACCAGTGAATTCTTGTGCAAAAGTATTCCTGTGTTGGAGCAGAAGCAATTTGGAAATTGGTACAATTTTCAATAATCAAAGCGAGTGCAAACAGAGGCATCCGATGGCAAGGGAAGGGCATTTTCGGGAGGAAGCAACCGAGCATGCATGCATCACTCGTCCGTCGAGGCCGTTCAAATCGTTTTATTAGTTAGTTAGCGTAACTAATTATTCAATTCAAGTGTTGTATTTTAATTAGCTTAGCTTAGCATAGCTAATTATTCAATTGTGTTGTAATAATTAGCTTAGTTTAGTGTAGCTTAGCTTATTCATTCGGACCCTCCTTCACGAAGGCGTAATGTTGTAATAAGTGTGCGTGCGTGTGAGCATGTCTTCCAATCCCACGTCTTTCTCCCTTTTATTTATTCGCTTTTGATGGTTAGATTAGGGACATTTTCAATTAGCATACCTTATGCTTGCATGTTTGCATTTATTCATTTGTCTTGCATGCACCGAGGCTCGGTACATCATTCAAACTGCATCGTCAATTCAATACTTATTTGAATAAGTGTTTCAAAGCATGTTATCAAATTGTATCATATGTCATATTAGTAGCTGAGCTTATTAATTGCATTATTGCATGTGTTGCATTAGGCATTTTGTATAGTTAGGATCATCAATTGTTTCGCTTTAGCATACTTGCATGAGTGTTATTGTCATATTGCTATGTTTCACATGCTTACCATGAGGCTATGTGCTTAAATGCTAAACTGCATGAATGCCTGTAGATAAAGGCTTGATTGTTTGAATTGGAACAATTCGACGGATGTGAGTTTTAAGCCCACTTTGCGAAGTGGCAAATCATGTTTTAAGCCCATCTTGTTTGGTGGCAAATCCGTTTTTTAGCTCACTTTAGGGGTGCAAATTCAAACCATTTTCGAAAATAAATATGAGTTGATTTGTTCCAATTCTTGCGATTTTGGTCTATACTTGTGTGTGTGTCACATAGTAAAGTTAACTAATAATCGGAATAAGAACACATGAGGTCTATAAAACAATATATCAGGATTAGTAGATACTGATTTTTGATTGGGCGAGCGGGGGTGCTCATTTCAGGACCTTCCCCTTTCGTACCCAAGTTCCTGAGCCGAGGCAACTTTGGTGATAATGAACACGTGGCCTTTGGCATGAGTCAGGGTTTCCTAAATTTTTCCAAAACAAAATATTTAGGTCGCGACTTTGTAATCTAGCAAAGCAGTCTAGTTTTAGTATTATTTGATTCAAAATCGATTTTCTAAAATGATTTGTCGGATTGGACTCTTGGGTGTTTATCAGTTTCACATTGCACTTTGTGAGACTAGATTCAAAACCGTGACATGAGTCCAAACTCTAGGACCAATTCGAGCTCTCCGAAAAGGTGCGCGAAAAAGTCGAGCTACACATACTTGTATAGTTTGATCATTTTGCAAAAACATGTCCCTATGAACTTAATAATTAAACGTGTGAACTTTTAGGCAAAATAAATCCAAATTTGGACTTATAGGTTAGGCGTCCTAAATATTATATTTTTTAAGTATATATCAATTAGGCGTATTTAAAAAATTAATTTTTTTAAAAAATATTAAAAATTTTAAACACAAAAAATAAAATACTCAAATTCTAAAATGTTGGCACAATTTTTTAAAACTGTGATTCCACTAGGATCCCGCAACCACCACTCCCAATTTATCCCACATAATACGGGCGAAAGCAAATTACTACAGATTTGCTTCAAACACGACGGGAGACCATCCATACTCACAAATAAGACTGTAAATGAATCGAACTATTTACGAATATGTTCGACTCGACTTGTTAAGGACTTGACTCGACTCGTTTCGGGCTTCATTTCGTTTAGTAAACGAACTGAACCCGAACTCAAATATTAAGCTTATTTTGTAAATGAGACAAATTCAAGTTCAAATAATTCCGACTCATTTATTTTTATTTAAATTATATAACATAAATAATATTTTAAAAAAATCTTATTGACCCGAACTCAAATCAATAACTTATCGAGTAAACTCAAAACTCAAATTCAATAAACAAGTTAACTCGCACTCAACAAAACTCGGCTCGGTTGGATTGCACCTACTCGCAGATCAGAAAGAGGTAATTGTCGATTCATAAACCTGTCGTAAACCTCAGGGAGGACAGTTGAGAGGTCAGTCTAATTTACCCATTATAATTTTTTCTCGTATTCGGTGAACTGCTTGGTGTTATTCTCCGAGTTATCAGAAAGGAAAATGGTTTCTTCGGCTCTCTCGAGGCTTGTCAACCTTCAAAGGCACTTTCAAGTTCCCAAGGTACTACTCTCTATACTATTTTCCGATGAAACTTGGAAGCAACTGAATTCTTTGAAATCAATTGGGACTTAAATTTGGCAATGGATGGTTTAGGCGTTTAGTGCGTTTAGCATCATGATATATCGATTGCAATAATTCCAAGAAATTTGCTATGATTTATGTTAACCCTTTTGACCAAGAGATGTCGATTTCTTTTATTTTTTCTCCAATAAATTTACTATGATTTATGGTGTTTTTGTTTGTTTTATAGGGTAGTGACGACAATTTGTGCATTGGCATGGTAAAGTTAACCCCTGATGTTTCTGAAGCGTTATCGCGTGGAAGAGCTGTTGTTGCACTTGAATCCACCATAATATCACATGGTATGCTATGCTATGCTATGCTATGTTAAGCCACTCTGTATGCAGTATATGGGTTCGTTTGGATGTGGGTTGGCTTTTTCGCTTTTTGAGATAGGCTTTTAGACTTTTTTTTTTTTTTTTTTTTTAGACTTTTTTAAGAGAAAAAATAAAATATTATGGTTTAGATGTGATATTTTATCTATTGGACTAAAAAAATTATTTTGTCTTTTTGTGACTAAAATAGTTAAAAAATTAAAAAATCTGGCATGCCAAACGAAGGCCATGTCTGTTCTAGTGGTTAAGTTATTTAATTATTATTATTTTTCATATGGAAATATTGCTTTGGAATGAGCTAAAGAGACACTTTCTTTGACTTGATTGAATCTTTAACGAAATTTTAAATTTTGATAAGTTTATTTTTTTGAATGCAATCAATTTCATCCGTTTCTACCTAGTGATTTTCTGAGAAATGACAAGATGTGGTGAGAAATGTAACTTTCTTATTTTATAAGTTTCATTTCTTACCAAAAGTGGGGAGATTTGGTGAGAAACAAATCTCATATCCCCATATCCCCATATCCCCATATCGCATGCTTTGCTTTTTTCTTCATCCAAACATGATAGTTAGAGAAAACACAACCATTTCTTCTCTTTTCTCACCTAGATGAGAGACTGCAATCATTTCTTTTCTTTCTGACGCCACAATCCAAGCTTAATGGTCTAGTAGGGGTTTACGCCATATTGTCCTCCTGCATTCTCAAAGGGTAAAAGTTTAAGTGTAATGAAAAAGTTTTCTAGAATGGGCATTCCTTTCCATTCCACTTTCATAGGGAATGTTCAAGCATAAGGTCATATTTGTTTGCTTGAACTTGTTACTGGTATATACTGCCGTTTAATTTCATGTCATACTGGCAAGTGATTGACATTTTTAAATGTACCTCTAAATTATCACACTTGCTTAATTGTCTATTTGGGAGAACTCAAAAAGGTCAACCAAACATTGACCAACCTACTTAAACAACCTGAAGGCTTGGTTTGGTCTGAAGGAATAAAGAAGTATCTTGTTCAGGGATGGCTCTACATATTGCTTAGGGTATTTAATTGAAGGAAAATTCTAATCACCGCCCTTAGGGCATTGGTTAAGATTGAAAAATGTGTTATATGTGTATTGAAATATGTGAAAAGTGTATAAATATAATATATATACATAAGTGTATAGAAATAAGTGAAAAGTATTTTAATTTTTTTGTCTTTACCCTTAATTGAATACCCTAAGCTCAATTTTTTCATTACATATATGACATATATATAAGTGGTAGATTAATTTGAACTCGCGAATACTCTCGCAATGTTTTACGATTTACAAACGTGGTAAAAAAAGTGGACAATAATATTAAGATGACAGATTTGACATATTGTAAGAAATAATGTATAGAGAAAGAGAGAGAATAAATTGTATGTATTATTATTGATTGATATATTGATTTCTATTATAATGATTCATGATTCCTATATATAGAAGAGAGGGTGAGTGTGTAGTAGGAAGGAGTAGGTGAAGTTGGAGGTGGTAGTGGTGTAAGTGGTTAGGTTTAGTGGAGTTAGGTGAGGTGGTAGTGGTGTAGTGGGTTAGGTTAGTGGAGTAGGTGAGGGTGTAGTGGTGTAGTGGGTTAGGTTAGTGGAGTAGGTTTAAGTGTGTGAATAGGTGGAGAGTAGGTGGATTTTAACAGCCCCCCGCAAACTCAAGGGGATAGGAACTAACCAACTTGAGTTTGGGAGAGTAACAAAACAAGAAAATACATTAAAAATAAAAGAGGATAAGAGACCACTGTATGGTCGTGTCAGACCATTGGTGAAGACACTGGATTGTGGTGTCATAACGTTGTAGAGGACACTGTATGGGGGTGTCATAACCATGTAGAGGACACTGTATGGTGGTGTTCATAACGGTGTAGAGGACACTGGATGGCGGTGTCAGACCGATGTAGAAGACAATTTATTGGGTCATTGTCGGACCATTGATAGAAGACAGTTTTATGGAGTCTTGCTGGACCCTTGTAGAACATCTAACCAGAATCAATGTCGGGACAGTTTACAGAGTCTTCGACCCATAAAGGAGTCTACGGATACAATGTAGGGACTTAGTTACAGAGTCTTAGTCGGGGACCCATAAAGGAGACTACCGGAATTCAATCGGGACAGTTTACAGAGTATTGTCGGACCCATGAAGGAGCTAACCGGAATCAATGTCGGGACAGTTTACAGAGTCTTGTCGGACCCTTAAAAAGTCGCACCCTCAAAGGTGTGCCCAATTTTCAAAAAAGGCTGCCATCTAAAAGGCGTGCCCAATCCATGAAAAGACGTGCTATCAAAAGTTGCGCACCTCAAAAGCGTCCTCAGCGCCCACTTCATCAAAGTAATCCGTGCACCGAACAGAATTGCGTGAGCCACTCAAAAGGTGAGCCGTGAGACGCGGCGTATGGACATGATGGCGACCAGAAGACGGCGTGTTCGGTTTCCGCGTCGTCAGTGTCAATATAAACCAATGCGGAGGCGGAGGAAACCAAAACCAGACTGAACTCTGAACTTGTCATTCTGAAACAATCTGTAATAAATACTCTGTATCCAACCCTTTACCCTGGTAACATCTCAGCAACCCAAAAATCATGGCCATCTTCTTCCGTTCAAGCCCTACCCAAAAACATTTTTTTAAGAGCCTCATCTTCCCGTGGTCTGCTCACTCTCTTTCCCGACCGCTAACGCAGTCAACAGGAGAAGATAACAGGTGCGTGGCCCGTGAACCTCAACCAAACACCTCTGGTTTTGCTCCGTTGAACTTTCCGATGCGGTCGGTTTAGAGCAAAAAATGGCGGTGCAGATCGGATGTGGAGGCCAATCAGTATACCCTTGAAGTCATGTGTGGAAAACATGACTGCGGTTACAAATTTGTCGAACCAATGGTTTCTGCCAGAGATAGGAATCATATTTATGAAGACAAAAATAAAATTGCAGCAGTTTAATAACGTCCCAACTCGGCTACATATGCTCCAACGCATTGTTTCTAAGGATGCTTTC